GTGCGAATTGAATGCGGACAGGAGGAGAGTTCAGCCTCACTGGAGATGTGCGATCGACAAAATTTAAACTCGTGATTTCAAATTATGCTGCGCTTTATCCATTTGCCCACTGTCATATTCACGTCATTTTCACTGTGTGCCGTATGTAAAATGACTGTTACCTTGGCTTTATTTGAACAAATATGATTCCCAATGCACACAAACTTCCCAGATTACTTAGTGCCCTGTTGGTTACAATGTTGACTTTTTATTAAATATTTATTTATTTGTGAAAAATACATTGTCATCTAAAGTATAAGTATGTTTATTTTACACATTTGTTTTTTAACAATGATTTCAAATTTCTTAAATATTAATTAAAATAAATAAAATTATATCGGCTTTATATCGGCCACCCTGCTTTCCAAGATATCGGCATCGGCTGTCAAAAAAACAATTATCGGTCGACCACTAGACTTGTCTAGTCATATCTTAAATATCTACTATATAAAATACCTTCAATCTATGATCAAATGTTAAGCATTAATTACAGAATCCAGATCCTCTATTCATACGTCAGAGTGTTTCTGCCATTGAGCTTGAATCAAAGAGCTGAACAGCTGCGAAACTATCACCAATCCAGATATTATGACAACAATTATCTGAGGTGTCACATAGCACTAGGATCCTCTGATTGAAAGCTACTCTCAAGCACCATGTGCTGTTTGCAGAGAAACTAGACGCATATGTAAGCAGTCTTCATTCACAGGCAGGTGACAGTCGCCGTCTTGAAAACTAGTGAGCTGCAAACCCAGACAGCACATTTGCGAATCACAGGCACATATGATGCACAGACATGCTGCCTAGGTAGGCAGCTCACTAAGATTTGAGACAGACATAAAAAGCAAGCACTTAACAGATGTCTGAACTTGCTTTGAGTTACTAATATTTCAGTTAGATTCAGACAAATATAAAATAATAAAATTAATAACAATGTACTATGATTTAGATATGTAAGGCACACTACGTTTTTTGAACATGAACTAAAGTATTATTTGCAGTACCATTAACACTATATGTATATGAATATCATTAATATGGTATTATTACCATCTAATATATCACTGTACCATATAAACACGGGACTTTTAATAAAGGTAAAATGAAAGGGAGAAACGCTCCAGGCATTACAAGACACTCAAAACGACGCATTACAAAATGTACTGTGGAAGTACCATGGTAAAACTCCAAAATTCCACTGTAGAATGTCCAAAAACGAAGTATTACCATGGTACTATGTACAAAAGATTATGGTAATACAGCGGTAATGACTTAATGACATAATCTATGACAGACCCAAACCGACATTTCAACACAATGTCAGTGGTACGTTATTAATTTCTTAGGTATTAGTTTTAAAATTACAGTCCTATCTGAGTTTCTGCCGACTTTTAAGTGCACTTAAGTGCACCCAAAGTGACTTTTAACAGGACAAATGTGTCTGAAGCCACATGATCAAGCCAAAACTTGAATGCTGAATCGCTTCCTTGTATCCAAACATACTGGTTTGACTAAATACTGAATGTCTTCACAAAGGGAGCTAAAAATACAAACGAGTTTCCAGAAATAATTGAGTTACGATTCGTAAGCAATCACGGCTACGGCTTCACTGACACTGGCTAATGCTAAATTCAGACGTGCAAGTCATTCACTTGTGCTGGCCTGAAACATGACATGACTCAAGACGGCTCACACACACAGGCAGGCATACTGACATGAGCTCCAGAGCGGTCAGACTGAGCTCTATAACCGCTAAGCCGGCTGAGTTCAGGCCTTCGGTCGTCATTCTAGGAGGGCAGGGTAACTTAAAGCAGAAAGCTTTAAAAATAAGTGTCTTAAATAAGGCCCAGCCGAAGCCCTGACCTCTCCACGGGCTACCTGCGGGAACACTCTCACACTCAGCCCCGCGGCCGAGTGAGCCGCAGCAGGCCTGGCCTAGCACACAGGCCCAGTGCAATATCACACCAAGCGGCTCCCAGAAAACGCCCTGTGCGCCACCGATGCGGGTGTAAGTACATAAAGGGTTGCAAAATTCACGGCGGCCGCCATGATGACTTTTTCCCAGTGCATTTGAATTGAAAACATGGCAACCCCGCGGGTCAGCACTGGCCTACAATTCAAGGCAACGACGCAGCGATCGGCGGTTTTTTCACACCTACCTTCATGTCGGGACATCCTACAGACAGTGACACAGCCCCTCCTCGGGCTCCCTAACGTCTATGAGTCAGAAAGGTGCCGCTAAAAACGAAATAAAAGTGGGACGCGGTCTTTCTTTCCTATTTTCTCTCTTGAAGATTGATCCGGGGCTTACTTCTCTCCGCTTCCCCCTCCCCGTCTGTCATCAAGCGACTGTGTGTGTGTGTGAGATGCACCGGGTGCGGACGCGGTCTGCCGGCAGGGGGCGCAGAACTCATCTACTTCTTCTTCTGTGGTGTTTGAAGGGCGGTAAACTCGTGTAGCTCTCGGATGGACGAATATGGGTTCTTTTAGTGTTGACATCGCCATCTACGGTAGCTGAAGGATATTTTTTATTATTCAAAACGTAGAAATACACTGGACCCAAACGTACACTACCAGACAAAAGTTTTTGAACAGTAAAAATTATCTTCTGCTCACCAAGCCTGCATTTATTTGATCCAAAATACAGCAAAAGCAGTGATATTGTGAAATATTTTTACTATTTAAAATAACTGCTTTCTATTTGAATATATTTTAAAATGTTATTTTTTAGCATCATTACTGCAGTCTTTAGTGTCACACGGTCCTTCAGAAATAATTCTAATATTCGGACTTATTAATTCATGAATGTGTGAATTTAACTGCACTAATAAAATATGAAACCAAGTGATTTCAGCACAAGCACATTATGTTTCTCAAAAAAGTTTGTTAGGTTTTAAATTTCATAAGCATTTACACACCTGTGTGAATTTGAGAGGTGCTGACAGTTTAAAAAAAACAGCTGATTAAAAGTCATTGCAAAAATGTCAGACGTAAAGATAGTTCTGAGAAAAAGTCTAACATGTTTTGTTTACAGATGATTTGATATTTTATTGCAGTGACTCATAATTTTAGTAAGTGTGGGTTAAACTTGTTCTTAAACGTTTGGGGCCACTGTAGATTGAAACTACAATATAGAAAAATAATCCTCATAATTAATAAATCAATAAAAACTATACAAAATACACAAGGGGTAAGTCTTCCAAGTAGGCCTATGTGTTCCTAAATGACATAATTGATTTTGTGTGTGTGTGTGTGTGTGTGTGTGATATGCTAAAATGTATACATGAATATGGAAAATAATTTTTTGTTTTAAACTAGAACAGTTTTTACCTACCATTTCCAAAAATACTGGTTAAAAACGCTGGGTATAGAGTATTATATCAACCAGCTACATATAATTAAAAATAATATTATGTTATAATATTAAAATTACTTAATAATTCACACCCATTCAGAACTTACACAGTGATCCAGAAACAGTGATTTTTTTTTTGTTGCATTCTTTATTTCTGCAAGTAATATTCAGTGCTATCTTATTGACATTTTCAGTCCTTAGACATATAAACAGGCAGATAAACAAAAGTTGACACATTAGTGTCATGTACAAAGTGACCGTCAAATGGCCTCCAGTATCATACAGTTAATTAGACAGCGAGTTTTATCTGTAAAATACAGTGCATTTAAAAAGACAATTGCAGCAGTTAAGATAAACATTCCTACATGCCAGTGCTATCTTATTGACATTTTTCAGTCGTTAGACATATAAACAGGCAGATAAACAAAAGTTGACACATTAGTGTCATGTACAAAGTGACCGTCAAATGGCCTCCAATATCATACAGTTAATTAGACAGCGAGTTTTATCTGTAAAATACAGTGCATTTAAAAAGACAATTGCAGCAGTTAAGATAAACATTCCTACATGCAAAACATGAACCCACATTACATTCCTTACATGTGATTATCAGATTATCAAACAGCATTCCCTCATACCATACATTACAAGCATGCTTTAAAGAATATTAAATAGGTTCAAAAACTCCTCCATGTTCTTCTATGTGTGCTTAAATCACAGACTCCTTGGTAAAGCACTGAATTTTGAGATTAATTATATTGCCAGTAAGTCATTTAGATAAAAACCTGATAGTTTTGAATTATTTTAAAGGGAAATTCCTAAATTACCAGAGCTTTCTATGAGATGGTCAAAAGTCTATTTAAGATGAAGAACAATTTGGGACAAGGGAGTGCTTTTCATTGCAATTTTTGTGTTAGATAGGCATAATATCCTGTTCTCAACACAGATTTAGATGAAAGAAGAAATCACCATATTTCTATTTAAACAAAGCACACTATGCTTGTTGTCTAAGTTTTAAAAAATAATTGTTAATTAACATCTAAAATGTTAATTTTGACTCATGAAGTATTAAAACATGGTATATGATAAGGCATTCTCAGGTCAATTTCCACATCTTTCTCTACCAGTGACCAATATTATGTATATATATATAAAAATTTTAAAAAAAACCTTAACAAATTAAATTATTTCAATAAAAAGCAGCACAAATGTGATTTATACAGCTAAAACGCAACATATGTCCTTGAAAGTACTATGATATTTTGGCAATTATCTAAAAAAAAAAAGCATGATAATATAAATATTAAGTACCAACGATGTAATTATCATCTGAAGATATTTGGTTCTTCTCATTACCATCTAATGATGTTCATTCACTGAACATAATCCGAAGTTACAGACTTATCAAATGTTGGCATGGTATGGCAACTGGCTGAGTCACAATGTGGGACGTTTCTATAGACAAACAAGTCCGCATGCAAACAAAGCCCATCGGTTCTGTCCTTTATGAGCCCCACCGCAAAAAGCATGGTTCCTTTCATGAAGGGAAGAAGTTTGAGTTCCAGTGAGGCTCTGTGGAGATCTAAGAGCCTTCATTCTGAATCTGAGGCTGTGCAGTGCCTGGCTGATCCTCTGCTGTCTTCTCTTTGATAGAGGAGGGGCTGCTGTCGGTTTTGTTGCTGTCTGGGTTGCCGTGGTTTCCTGCGCTGCCCAATCGAGATGAAGCTACCACCGCTTTGACCGCTGCCTGTGGAAACATAAACACAGGAGTGTTTTTTTTTTTTTTATACCTTTAATATTAAAGCACATTTTGCAGATTATTATTTGTTAATGTTTATTTTTAATTGATGTTAAATGAATGGTTCCCCAAAAATGGAAATTTGCTAAAAAATTAACTCACCCTCAGGCCATCCAAGATGAAACAGATTTTGAAAAATTTAGCATTACATCACTTGCTCGCCAGTGGATCCTCTGCAGTGAATGGGTGCCGTCAGAATGAGAGACCAAACAGCTGATAAAAACATCACAATAACCCACAAGTAATCCAAATGACTATAGTACATCAATTAATGCCTTGTAAAGAAAAAAAGCTGCACGTTTGTGAGAAACACATCCTTTATTAATGTGTTGTAACTTTAAAACATCGCTTCTGGTGAAAGTATGTCTCCATAAACCAAATGAACGCTTCCTCGAGTGAAAAAGTCACATCAAAATCCAAGTACATATTAGTTTAAAACTGTTTTGGAGTGTTTTCGCTTGTAAACTGTGCTTGATCTGTGCAGATTTCTCTCCTGATTCAGACGAGAAGCCTTTTTCACTGGAGAAAGCAATATTATGGATAAAGGACTCGTATTTTAGCCGGAAACAATGGTTTGCGGTTAAAACCATCTTAATGATGAATTTGTTTATTACAAACATGCAGCTTTTTTCTTCACAAGATGTTAAGTGATGGACTGGAGTCGTGTGAATTACTTGTGGATTATTGTAATGTTTTTATCAGCTGTTTGGTCTCTCATTCTGACGGCACCCATTCACTGCAGAGGATCCACTGGTGAGCAAGTGATGTAATGCTTAATTTTTCCAAATCTGTTCCAGTGAAGAAACAAACTCATCTACATCTTGGATAGCTTGAGGGTGAGTAAACTTTCAGCTAATTTTCATTTTTGGGTGAACTATGCCTTTAAGGAAAAGTGTGTAAATTCTTAGCCACTAGCAGAATCAAGCGTAATAACAAAAATTACTATATTTTTACATTTTCTGAAGATGTGTGAGTGGTGCTTGCTTGTACAAATTTTTTTGATTTTTTAAAGGTTTTTAGTATGTTGCTATGTGTCTGCTAGGGTATTCTGGATGGTTGCTTGCTTACTTGCCCCAATCAAAAGTGCCTATTTCTATATATTCTGGTCTCTTCATTAAAGTCTATGGGACTTTTTTTGCCCAGATCAAAGCTTTGAGGTTTTTATACATGTTTAAGTTATGAACATATTTAAAGTTGTCAATCCTGTAAAGCCTGACATAAGAAATAATAGTAAGAAATTGTTTGTTTTTTTTAAACGGAGCAGCTTATTGAACCTTTAGGCAAAAGTATAAACATATAGAAAAAAAAAGACATATATATTAATCTTTAAAGGGGTCATATGATGTAGCTAAAAAGAACATTATTTTGTGTATTTGGTGTAATGAAATATGTTTATGCGGTTTAAGGTTCAAAAAACACATTATTTTCCACATACTGTACATTATTGTTTCTCCTCTATGCCCCGCCTTTCTGAAACGTGTCGATTTTTACAAAGCTCATCGGTCTGAAAAGCAAGGTGTGCTGTGATTGGCCAGCTATCCAGTGCGTTGTGATTGGCCGAATACCTCAAACGTGTGAAGGAAATGTTACGCCCCTCACCATACTGTGATGATGCCCTGTCTATAAACTATTATGTCTATTGAGTGTCCCCGTAAACCACGTGTGTGTGTGTATGTGATGTTTGTATACTTATGGATTTTATAGGGGTTAATAGGGATCTTATATACAGTATATTTAGATTTACTCACAAGGTCCTTGGCATTGAGAGACACATTGTCCCACCAGGGGGAGACAAATTCATATTCACAGTTCAGGATGCGTTTAAACATGTACTGGTCTCCTCTGTCATCAAAAAAGGGCTCAAAACCACATAACCTGTACAGAGAACAGAAACAAAAACAATGTTAGTTTTAACAGCACCTCTACAAAGTGACACTGAACTCATTTCCAAAGCCAGTCCAAATTATCAAAGTAAAAGGTTTATATATAAAAATAATTTGTATTTGTATTTAAACATATTATATAATATGCATTAATTAATTTGTCTTTGTATGTATTACATGCAGAAAAACACTAAATATTATTAGAATATATATATATATATATGATATTAATATTACAATAAGGAATAGATACAGTATATTCATTATAATTATTATTTGTACATAATACATGCAGCAGAATACTAACTATTCTTATATTATATATAATGATTAATGTTACACATATTGAATAAGAAATTACTTTATAGAGTTATTGCAAACTACAAGTGTTTATATCTTATGACTGTGTGCCCTTCATGGTAAAGATTTTACAGCATCACTGCTGCTGTGCTTCTAATTTGTGCAACTTTGCTTTTAAGATCGTTTAGATTTTTAATGTTTCTTTCATTGTTACCTGATCGTCTACAATTTTCGACAAACCAAAATCAGCTGTAAAGATAAAACCCACAAAATAAAAACAGTTTTTACATTTTCTGAGAAGGCGCTTACTAATACAAAACTCAGACGTAGCAGAGCATCGCTAAGCAGCTGATGGGGTGTTCTGGGTGGTTGCTACAGTAGGTGTTTGCTCAAGTCCCTATGATATTCTGGTCCCCAGATACGGCTCTAGTCCCTTCTTCAGTGGAAGTCTGTGGGGGTATATCTCATGGCGTGTCGAGAGCTGTTCACATTTTACGAAAAAAATAATTAAATGATTTTTTTTATTTTATATTTTGCTAAGCGAAAATTAACCATGTCTCCAATTCTTATTACCGTAATGCAAGAACATTTCATTTTTATAAGTGTAATGAATTATTTTAAATTAAATTATTTTAAATTAAAATGAAGTATAAGGTTAAAACTAAACATTGTTTTATTGGTTTTGTTTATTGTTTCTTCTTATTTTATATGGTTTAATATTTAATATTACAGTATATATAATCATTTATTTATTTTTTTATATACTATATATATATATTTATTTATTAGTATATTTATATATACTGTAATATTTTTACAATATAATATATAATCTAAATATATTTACATACATTACCATTAAAAAGCTTGGGTTCAGTACAAATTTTTTTTTAAATTAATACTTTTAGTCAGTTAGGTTGCATTAAATTGATCAAACGTGACATTAAAAACATTAATAATGTTATAAAAGATTACTATTTCATATAAATGCTGTTGATTTGACATTTCTATTTAAAGAATCCTTTAAAAAAATGTATATATTTTTTTATATAATCATATATATATATATATATATATATACATTTTTTTTTCTTTCATGACATTAAGCCACATTTTCACATTTTGACGTTATATTTATATTTATATTTGAAGTAATATTTCAGCTTAGGAGTTTGTTAAAATCCGTAAACTATGAACAAGCCCCAATAATGTCCGAGATTGTGCCTCCTTTAAAGCTGAAAATGAATGATCCTTTATTGTACAACAGGATCATGTTTGCAAGTTAAATCGCCAGCAAGAGAAGTTTAGCTAAACTGCAGTTCCCCTATCAGGCGAATGAAAAGCCAGCCTTACCTATTTTGAGCGGAGCATCTGGCGCTGAGGTGGCGTACAGCAGGTTCTCAGGTTTCAGGTCTCTGTGCACTACACCATTCTCATGCAGGTACTGCAAACAGACATGTAGACACAGGGGGTTGCCTCTTATTAATCTGAGGTGTACACAGACATGCGTGACTGTACATTGTGGCACTAATTAACATGTGTTGCTTTCACCATTATGTGTGTAATAATATTTATAGTTTTCAAATTCATATGGGAATCTCCTCTGTGGTTGGTAAATTAATCTGGGCCTGGCTGATAATGAGCAAAATTAAAGTAATGACCATGCTGTTCTGAATATATTTCATAGGCCGTTTTTGTTTTACAATGCTTACAAGGCAGCACTGTATGTCAGGGTTCTGTCACTTCGGTCTAGTTTATTCTTGGTTTTGTGACAGAGCCCTGACACTCCTGTATTGTCCTTGTGTGAGCGTGCGGTCTCGACTGTCCTCGGGCCGTGCACTCTCTTTTCTGCGTGCCTTGTTTCATGTTCGTAGCGTGGTGTTTGCATTCTGCCACTTATGTCTAGTTCGGTTTCGGTCTGGTGTCAGGGTTTGAGCAATCATGCTCCATGTCTTGTTTCTTGTGTGAGCGCACGGGTTGTGTGTTCATTCACTCGCCATGCGCTCTCATCTCGTGTGTTTTGTGAGCGCTTGGTTTATGTTTTCATTGGCCACGTGCTCGTGACGTTGTGTTCTGTTTAGCGCACGGTTCATGTTTACATCGGCCGCGTGCTTTAATGTTATGTTCTGTCTTGTGTTGTGTAGCTCGGGTTTTCCTCGGTCGTGTGCTTTCATGTTGTCATGTTTTGTGTGAACATGCTTAGCTGCGTGTTCATGTCTTGTTTTGTGTGAGCACATGGCTTTTGTTTTGTTTGTTTCTGTGTGCCATGTGCTCTCCTGTCTATTGTCTTGACCCCGCCCACCTTGTTACTTAATTATTGGTTCATTTGCCCCTCCTGTCCTCCCTCGTTACCTGCCTTGTTTGTTCCCTATTTATTCTCCTTGTGTTTGCAGTCCTGACTGACCAGGCTCAGCCCTGCTTAGCTTCAGTGGGTAACCAGTCTTGGGCTACAGGGTGGTATGGCTGCTGGCAAAAGATTGCTTCTTTTGTGCAATGCAAAATAAAGTCATATGGACACTGTTTGGAGAGACATGAGGGTGAGTAAATGATGGCAGAACTTCCATTTTATAGTGGATTATCCCATTAAGACAGGGGTTCCAAGAGCTCTGGACTCAATATTTCCTTCCCAGCGGAGGTCCGGACAATACTTTTTTGGAACAGTTATAAATTTCCATCTGGGCAGCTGGTTGTCACAGGTCAGGGTATGTCACCGGTCCTTCTCTGTTGCTTGTTATGATCCTGTCATTTTCTGCAGCACATTTTGTTGTCTTGAGCGATCAGCATTGCCTTGTAGCGCTGAGTGTACAATCACGAGCTGATCTCTCTACCTGTCGCTCGTTCCCCTTACCATATGTATTCCCAGCTGTGTCTACACCTTGCTGTCAGTTGATCACTATTCAGGTCGCATTGATGTTTTATGTCTGTGCTCTCATTCATGTGTTTTTGCTTCCGTGACTTGCCTGCTTGTTACATGTGCTCAGGACCCAAAGACAAGGAGTTTGTAGCAAAACCATTTCCCCTGCTGGACTTGGGATCGTCATTAGTTGGTAGTCCTGCTTTCATTCCTTCTCGGTGGTCTCCTTAGTCTGTGTGTCCGCTGAGGTGTGTGCGGAGAACACTGGAGCTACCATACCAGTCTCTACTATTTCATGTGTCACATTGACTGTTCTAGTTTGTTCCTTTAGGTTTTTAAATAAACTCTATCACATTTATTTCACTGCGGAAACCTGACACTGGTACTTTTGTAAAAGGAAAAAAAATCCTAAACAGACAAAATAGTCATCAAAGATAAAGATATTGGGCACCGTGAGCCAAAGCAATGGTGAATTTTTAATAAATAAATAGATATATAAGTAAATAAATAAAAACTGGATAAGAATATTGTAAGGTAAGTAAAAACATCTAAGGATATAACTGCCTATGATCTACCACATCTATGTAATCCTCGACCACTCATTAATAAGAAAGATGAGTTTGAACTTTTGTTGAGAACAAAGGGAGTCAAGATTGCTAGTGTTACAGAGACATGGGCACATGAAACATCCCAGATGAAATCCTGGCTGTTAAAGGTTATGAACTCTTTAGGAAAGATAGAGTTTCAAGAACAAAACTGAGAGGGGGTTGGCTAGCTGTTTATGTATCCAGTAATCTCTATAAAAGAAGAGAGAGGAGAGAGAAAATATATCATGTATATGGATACAACTAAGACAGTCTCGCCTCTTGTCATTGGATTATTCTATCAGCCACCTTGGGCAAATGAGAAAGAACTGCGACAAAAAAGCTATAGATTATCTTATCAGCACTATAGACCTAGTAAAGATGAAATCACCTCAAGCCGGCATAATACTTTGTGGAGACTGTAACCTACTACCTATCAAGTCCATTATTAGCAGTCATCCAGATCTTAAACCGATTGTTAAGGAAAACAACAGAGGAAAGGCTATTTTAGACTTGATTATAACAAACCTCGATACCAACTATAGTGCTCCAAGCGTGCTTGCTCCAGTTGGTCAAGTCACCTTTATTTGTATAGCGCTTTATACACTACTGGTTGTGTCAAAGCAGCTTTACAGTGTTAAACAGGAAAATAGTTGGTTCAAGTGATCACTGCACAGTGTTGATGGCCCTATTGGTAAAAACAGCGTTAAGAAGAGGGAATATAGAGTGGGTCGACGTGTTACCAAAGACGAAGAGAAGCCCTTGCTCAGTGTATGGCCATTAGTGTATGGTCGCCTGTGTATGAAGCTGAGGATGTTAAGAAAAAAGTGGAGATTTTTAATACTCACATCCAGACAGCTCTGCAAATATGCATGCCACTGCAAAGGAAAGTTATAACATATGACTGATAAAAAAATCAAACTTGCTATAAAAAGCAATGCTTTTGATTGCTTTGGTTAAGAATATACATACATGGCTAGGGGAGACAGACTCTCAAAAACCATCTATGGTCCGTGTGTTATTGGCAGACATGTCAAAAGCATCTGATCGAGTCGACCATGCAAGGCTTTTCCAGCATTTAACAGCACTTAACCTCTGTCCACAGTTGTTGGCTTGGTTGTTTAGCTACACAACAGGAAGACGACAAAGGGTGGTTGCAAACGCAGTGCATGGAAATTTGTGACATCAGGGGTGCCCCAAGGTGGAGTTGTGTCACCATATATGTTTTTACTTCACATGTCAACCCGTGAAGTAATTTTTGGTGATACAATGCGGTTTATATGCAGATGATATTGGTATATCACAAGCTTTAAAGTTAAAAGACATAGAAACAGACAAAAAGATGGAAATGGAGGCACTTGCTTTGGAAACTTGGGCACAAAATAACAACATGCTCCTAAATGGAAACAAATTTGTTGAAATAAGGAGATGTTTTGCAAAAAATCCAACACAACCACCACCACTCACACTGGGAGGTTCCTGTGGTATTACGGTCAAAATACCTAGGGTATCATCTTGACAATCAACTAAATGGAAATTATCATATTGACAAGTGTTTGCGAACAACTTTTTGACAGTGTTTGTGAAAATGGAGCTTCTGCTGATGATTTAGTCAGTATGTATTGCTCCCTGATAAGACCCTGTCTAGAGTATGCAAATGTGCTGTTAGTTGGTTGTACAAAAAAGCAAGCAGCTTTACTGGAATGCAGAAGAGAGCACAACGAATTATTGAGAGATTTACTTACACATCAATACATCTACCTGATTTACAAGGTCGGAGAGAGCAATCCACCATCAAATTAATACAAGAGATGACTCAGAATGATCATCCACTTCGTGATCTTTTTCCACCAACCAGGGGTGAAAAAATTGGTCGGCTTCTTTAGGAAGAAAAGTAATTTGACATTATTCAAAGCAAGGACAAAACTTTATGCTAGTTCTACTATTCCTTTTGGTATTAGATTTTTTTAATGAATATACTGTGGATGTTTAGGGTGTATAGGATGTATATTTTGTGTATGCATGGACGGATGTATATGTGTGCATATGTATATTTTTAATTATTAATTGGTATAGTATTATTGAATATGTTTTGAATATCTGCTTTTATATTTATTGAGTTTTTTTTTTTTCTTGCAAATTTTATCTATACTTTCTGCAATAATTCAATCTCAGTATTTCTAGCCAGAAAATTAAATAAACTTCAAAAACTTCTGATGTTTTATCAGGCTATTATTATTTTTACATTTAGGTACCTATGCATGGCAGAGGGTCATGTGACAGTTAAAATATATTGTATGGGGGTTAAGGTTTTCTAAAGTCAACTAGTCTAGGGTTTTCTTTAGTTAACTAGTAATGTCAAAGTTTTAGTTGTCTTTCCTTGCCATCTACAAATCAGTTTTACAATTATAACATTGTTTATTATTTAATAATCTTAATATCCTGATTAATAATGTAGATGAAAAAATGTGTTGTCAAAACCCTGGTTTATTTGCTTCTTAATTTCTTGCAATTCCGAGTTTCTCACAATTTTGAGTTACAATTTTGCAGTTATGACATTTTTTTTCCACAGAATTTCCACAGTCTATCTCTCGTAGTTCAGACCTTTATTTTCCAGAATACTGAGTTTACATATTACAATCCCAAATTTTTTCTCAGAATTCTGAGTTTAACTTAAAAATGTGAGATATTTAAGTTGTAACTGAGATAAAAATGTCTTGTAACAGACAAAATGTCTGAGATAAAAACGTTATTATAAACTCACAATTTTGAGGGAAAAAAAGTTGGAATTGCAAATATAAACAATTCAGAGAAAAAAGTCTGAATAGCAAGATGTTAACTTAAATTTGTGAGATATAAACTCAGAATTGTGTTATAAACTTGCAATTCTGAGGGGGGAAAAAATCTGAGTTGTGAGATGTTCCGTCAAAAGTAAACTCTGACCTTTTTATTTTTTAATATGTGGCAGAAACGGGCTTCTATAGTATGAAGTGTGTCCTGCTTACCGTAACTTTAAAGTCGGCATGAAATCAAAATTGACTTTATTTATTTTACTAGCGCACATTGCTAGTCTTGATGTGAACAATTAATCCGTGCAAGATAATCCGCTGAAAAAAATAGTTTGTCTTGGTAATCTTTAATCAAAATCTGAACATTTGCTTCTGCTCTGGAATGGCATTCCTTCTCTGATGATGTCAGTTTGACGGCTTGGGCAGAATATCATTAAACACAGCCCTCCAACCATTAGATTGCTATGAGTGAGAGACAGAGAGGACGAGCGCAAACATAAAAAATCCGTGTATCATTCGATCATTCGTTTTTTTGATTTAATATGAAATAAAGTCGGCAGCAACTTCCGGTTCACGCGGACTTTAAGTAGTAAGTGAAACAGTGTGCAATATTCCACAACAACCATTTCAAACAGTAATATGTTATATGCTGCCACATGACAAGGTAGAATCAACTTGGTGGCATCAACTTTCAAACCTTCTCAGCAAGAAAGATTCTCAAATCCAGCAATAAAAAATACATCACCTTCGAGAGCTCCAGACTTCAAAAGTAAAACTGCAAAGATATTGCAAGTCCCAAGCCACTGAGGACGCCCCAGTCAATCAGACTGGCAGAAATCTACAAAACACAGATTCAGAGGCATGCCACACAACCAGCTGGCTTTGATGTGACAGACACACAGATTCTGCTGTTGTGAGGGAAACTGTGAAACTCTTCACACGATAACACGTTAAAAAAACGCTCCTGAAAAGGCGGGTCACTTCAAAAGGGACTCGCAGCGTTCACGTTTCCATTCCTCTGCTCTATTTTATGCCCCGGTGGGAGCTGGAGAGTTGGCGTTCTCTTATTGCAGCCCACCAACTGAATCCAGCCCATGAGAAATTTGCCCACTTTCTTCCTATCTCCTTGGCAACCGCCATCTTTGATAAAGTGAGAGCCAGTGGTGGAGAACACACTTTAAACAAAAATGCTTTTAAAATACATTCACACAGATGAAGAACAGGCCTACTTTCGAATTCAGGCACCTGGCATATCACTAAAGCACATGGATACATAATGGATATAAACAGAAACTGCATGCACAAGATATATAGTAAATGATAAAAATAAGCCTCACAAGGAAGGTTAGGGAGGGAGGGGGGGAGGGAGAGAGAGAGAAAGAGAGAAATATAGTAGAATTGCTTGCCCATTCAAGAAGAAAAAACAATAAATGGTCTCCTGTGGTCTTCATAACCAATCTAGATCCATTTATGGTGACTTCATTCTGGAAATAGGATTCTCTTTCCATTAATGATTGTTTCACTGATGAACTAATATGTGCATATAAGGTCAATGGTCACAAATATTAAAGCCTAAGATACATTTGCATGAGATATACAGTATCACTGGTTGTTAGGGTTTTCTGAGTGGTTGCTAAGGGCATTTCAAAAGTCTAATAATGGCCCAAGTCAAAAGAACTCACTCCCAAGTCTTCATGATTTATGGTCTCTAGAAATGACTAAGGTCTGTTCACACTTCCAATAGTTAAGCCTTGGTTTTTCTATATGTCAGGTAAATTGAATCCTAGGTTATCATGCTTCATGGTTCACACTTCTCATAATTTACCCGGGGTTAACTATAAATTTTGGGTATTCATAAACGTATGTTTCACCCTGTACACTGTTCCGAAACCCTGGGTTAACATTCCAATTTGCATATTTGCAGAGTCAGTGTCATTGATTAGATGAATGCAGCATGCGATGTGTTTACATTGCGCATCCTCATAAAATATATTGCCAACAGTACCTACTATTCAGTTTTCCAGAATGGACTTTTCAGTGGAATATAAAGGTTCTTCACTCTAATTCATGTGTTTTCCGTCACCATTTGACAATTTTCCTCTCCAACACTGAAACGGCTGTTTATACAACACGCAGTGTTTCTGTAACATTGAATATAAGGACTGGGTGTCTGTTGATAAGAACTGTAACATGCTAACGCCACATCATTTCACACTGTACAAGTTTGGCAAAAGCGGTGCTAACCCTGCTTCAGAGCAGGGTTTCATTTCATAACCCTGGTAAAAAGTGGCGCTAACTTCGCTTCTACATTACAAGTGTGAAACATATCTTTACCTAGGGTTTAAAGCGGGGTTTAGAACAACAATAACCTAGGGTTAGTTCACCCAAAAATAAAAATTAGGCTGCGTTTTACTCACCCCCGAGGCATCCTAGGTGTATATGACTTTCTTCTTTCAGACGAATCCAGTCGTGTGAAAAGCCCTCTCAGTGTTCAGAGTGTTCAGCCTATTTTATGATCAGCCAGAAGAAAATTGTATGTTTGATTTTATATGGATAAATTTGTGGTTATGTGTTACCAACATCTATGCATTATTTTTGTAATATTTTGAATTAGCTTTTATGTTTATATTTTAATTTCAATTACATTTTAGTCATATTGTTATGTCACTTTTGCTTATCACTCTTTCCATATCACTCTTTATGTTTACTTTATTTTTATTGAATTTTTAGTTTTAGTTCAGTTTGTTTTTATGTAGTTCCAGTTAGTAATTCAGTTATCTAAATCATTTAGCTTAATTTATTAATGTAATATTAAACTTTATTTCAGCTTTATTTTAATTAACAAAAATCTTTTAATACTTTTAGTTTTCACGATTTCACTGCTAGTTCAGGAAAAGCAAAAGAAAGAGCAGAAGAAGAAAAACGTTTTCAGACGTGAAGTGTGAGACACTCACCGCGACCGCCTCCAGCACTTGTTTAACTGCATCAGCGGCGTCTCGTTCGCTGTAGTAGCCCTTCTCCACCACCCTGGAAAATGGAAGGCACCATTTGGTCTCCAGTGTAACTCCATATTGAGTGTCTGACTCTTTATCCAATTTTCACTTCATTATTTTCCAGCCTTAGTGTGAGTCAACCACACCTCAGCACACAGGATGAATGGAGACGTTTCTGTCGGTTGTTCTTAAGAAGAATGACTCATGTTGACACAATTGTATAGAAATGGGAAATAAGATAACCCTGAATGAGAGTAAAATGGAGTGAATAACAGTAAAATCAGTGGGTTTCACAATAATAAGTGTTCCTCTATTAAAGTGGTGTTTCTCTATGTGATTAGATCATGAATGCACACATGCACCTTTTGTTCTGTAACAAATGATGAAGGTTAATTCAGGGCTTTTCACTAGACCAACTAGATTAGAACATTTCCCGAAGAGCAACTGATTGCCAGGACATTGCTATGTGGTTGCATGTGTTCTGCACTGTAAAAACCTGCAGTTGATATGTTAAAAAGCTATTTCTACTGGATTTAACCACCAACGAAAAATAAGTTTGTTGTTATAAAATAACTTAGGTTGATTCAGTAATAGTAAATAATATTTTTGACTTGAATAAAACCACTTAATTTAGATTTTACCACTTTTTTGCTTTTTACCATGCCATTTTAGCAGGTTCAACTAGGATTGCTGGCACAACTTTAATTATATTTTAAATAAATAAATAAATATAATAATTAATAATACGGAGATTATTGACATGACGGGGAAAAAAGTAAATTGTTACTAATTTGCTCCCTCGGTTTACTAAATCGTGCACATGATATCCTTTTAATTAAATCGTAGGCTCGATATAATAATTGGTTCTCTCGTTTTAACTAAATCGTGTGCATGAAATAATAATTTGTTCTACTTCCTGTCCGCTTTCTCATAAACTGATATAGATGCCTCTGTCATAACATAACATAACATAACATAACATAACATACCATAACATAACAGCAGCAACAGGTTTATGAGAATGCAGACAGGAAGCAGAACAAATTATTATTTTGTGCGCACAATTTACTTAAAACGAGGGCATGAATTATTATTTCCTGTGCACAATTTATTTAAAACGAGGGAATGAATTATTATATCAAGTGCACGATTTACTTAAAATGAGGGAACAAATTATTAGTTTGTGCGCACGATTTATGAGGGAATGATTTATAAAATCGAGCGCACAATTTATTTAAAACGAGGGAACTAATTAGTAAATCGACAAATTAGTGTAATAGAAACAATAGTGTAAAGAAACAAATATATATATATATATATATATATATATATATACTGTATATAAATAATTTAAATTAAAAGTATTTAAATTCAAATGTACATCACAAGTGGCAATTCAAAAAAATCTTTAAAGAAATGTTAATGGTTTATATATATATATATATATATATTATTATTATTATTATTATTTTATTTTTTTTCTCAATCAATTTTCAGATTAAATGTGGCATGATATACTTCATTAATTCTGAATGGCATGAAAATGTTTTCATGAGATTCTCCATCACCCATTTTATCATCCATTAAATGTCAAAGTCTACTTGCTTTCCTCATCAAGGTGTCATATCTGTAGCACAAACAAGTTAGGGCTCAGGAAAAACTCTAACTGTAAGTATGAGCAATAGAAATAGTGATTGTTGCCTTAGCAAACACCCTTAATTACAGTTCTGGGGGAAAGTGTCAATGCACAGCATGGAGTTCACAACTTAATCAGCCATTATTTGCATGTAGCACTTTACCCCCATGGTGAACTGACCTGTCAAATAATTCTCCACCGGTAACAAGTTCTAACACGAGACTAATCTCCGCAGGGGTCTCAAAGATCTCCTTCAGTTTGATCTGACAGAAAACGGCATGAAAAAAAGAGAGGGCATTTCACTGGAGGAATTCAAAAACAATACATGATTTATTATTGATGTAGACTATGGTAGCTATAATGTCTGACTAACATTTGCATAACTAGAGCTTGCTAAATCAAACACAGACAGTACTGCAGAGACAGGATGAACATCTAAGTGAGTGTTCTTGTAGATTTATGCATATTTTAGGCTGTGAAACAATGTAACTGCCCCTTTAGACTTACTATATTTGGATGAGAGAGGCGCAGTAATACACCTATCTCTGTTCGTACAATCTTCTTGTCAACCTGCAAGAACAGCAAAGTTATTGTCTGAGTACAAAGTGAACAAGGTGCACAATTATAAAGCCATTACATCAAGTAAAGTGTAATAGCAACATCAACTCTCTGCAGAAGGAAAAACCTAAAAAAATAAATAAAGTAAACCAAGCACTTTTCCTCAATAATATTTAATGGGCATTCTGCAAATGCTTGCTGTTCATAAAAAAAATTTAATAAAACTTTGTTCATGTTGTTATTGTTATTCTCATTCTATTTTTTTCTCTATCAGCCACCTTTAGTAGTTTTTGCAGTAACTTTGCACAATGTACACCACATTTATATGCAGCGCCTAACAATGTAATGCGCTATATATTATAGCACACAAGTAACATAATAGAATTACAAATGCATTCGAGAGGTTTAAGATAGCCTTAGTATTCCCTACACACGCACAAAAAGCACAAATGATGGTGTAAATAGAAATGTATGTACTGCTCTGAAAACAGCTCTGGCTGACAGCAATTATTACCCATCATGCATCAGAGTGATGTAGAGAAATGGAAGGCAACAACAGTGAGGTCTTTAAGATCTTAGCAGCTGGAAGGAAGTCCTGACCAGAAACTCCTTGGCTATACGAGGCAGAACAAAGGCAAGAGAACAAAGCCTGGTAACATGGGGAGAGAAATGTGTCAGTGCACTTACAGTTTTTTTCAGCATTTTCGCAGCATAGTGCTTCTGGGTGCCTTTCTGACGGCATCGGAACACCACTGATGTGGCTCCCCTGCAAAAGAGAGAAAGAGCAAATGACTCCGTTACAAATAATTCAGTTGTATTGCATAAATTAATAGGGCTCATTTATCCCCAATACACTACAGTTCAAAAGATTGGGATTGGTAAGATATTTAGATATTTTTGAAATAATTATCTCATGCTTACCAAGGCTACAATTATTTATTTGATTGCAATACAGTAAAAACAGAAATATTATTACAATTTAAAAAAAAGTTTTCTATTTTAATATATTTTAATATGCAATTTATTTCTGTGATGGCAAAGCTGAATTTTCAGCAGCCATTACTCTAGTCACACGATCCTTCAGAAATCATTCTAATACGCTGATTTGGTGATCAAGAAACATTTCTTATTATTATCAATTTGTAAAGAGTTGACCTAAGTTTGGCCACCCCACTCACAACTGCAGTTTTTGTCTCTTTTTTTTCTTGGCAAGAAATGCATTTATTAAGATGCGGAACCGCTGTATCTCTTTACGACCCTAACAAACAGGAGACTTTTCAGACTTTTCATACTTTGCCTCACTGCCAGGCGCAAGTCAAAAGAACGCAGAAAAGGTACAGGTGTTAAATGAGCTTCAGTAGAACACCAGTGAACTAAGGTCTGATGAGATGTTGTTAGGCTATATGTCAGTAAAACTTAGAAAAACAAACTTTCCTGTCCTGTCAGCCGTTTTACTGCGCTCACAGCACACACTCTTCAACTGTACGCGAATATGCAGCACACGCTCTATATCATTCACTGCCAGGCACTAGTCAAAAGAGCGCGGAAAAGGTACAGGTGTTAAATGAGCTTCAGTAGAACACCAGTGAACTAAGGTCTGATCAGATGTTGTTAGGCTATATGTCAGTAAAACTTAGAAAAACAAACTTTCCTGTCCTGTCAGCCGTTTTACTGCGCTCACAGCACACACTCTTCAACTGTACGCGAATATGCAGCACACGCTCTATATCACTTCATCATAAATAAAGCACACAAGAACCTATGAGCATACAACGTTGTAGTTCTGTCATCAGTTAAGTCAAGGAACACAATGAGACATGGGAAAAACTAGGACATGGAGCACGTGGGGGAGGAAAACACAAGACAAAGGACTGGCATTACTCCCCCCTCCCCGAAGGCGCATCCACGCGCCACACAACATCCAACGGGGACGGGGGGTGGGCGCTCTGGAGGCCCCTCAGGACTGGCTTACACTGGACAGCAGTCCTACAGAGCGGTACCCGTTCCGGGACCCCTGGCGGATCAGGCAGTTCAGTGCGCCATGGCGGAGCAGGCAGACTAGGAAGCCATGGTGGAGCAGGGAACTCAGGGGGCCATGGCGGAGCAGACAGTTCAGGAGGCCATGGCAGAGCAGGAAACTCAGGGGGCCATGGCGGAGTAGGGAACTCAGGAGGCCATGGCGGAGCAGACAGTGCAGGAGGCCTGACCTCGGCACTCTGCCCGACCTCTACGGATGGATCCCTATAACCCCCCCCCAAAAAAAATCCTAGAGGAAAATATCAACCCCTGAGGCCCTCCGTGGGCCTGAATCGGGAACTGTGGCCCTCCCTGGGCTTGACTTGGGGACTGGAGCCCTCCCTGGGCTGGACGTGGGAACCGGAGCACTCCTTGGGCTGGACGTGGGGACCGGAGCCCTCCTTGGGCTGGACGTGGGGACTGGAGCCCCCTTAGGGCTGAAAGTGGGAACTGGAGACATCTCTGGGCTAGACTCGGGGACTGAAGCCCTCTCTGGGCTAAACTCGGGGACTGGAGCCCTCTCTGGGCTAAACTCGGGGACTGAAGCCCTCTCTGGGCTAGACTCGGGAACTGGAGCCCTCTCCGAGCTAGACTCGGGGACTGCAACCCTCTCCGGGCTAAACTCTGGGACTGGAACCCTCTCCGGGCTAAACTCTGGGACTGGAGCCCTCTCTGGGCTAGACTCGGGGACTGGAGCCCTCTCTGGAGTGGGCTCAGGGGCTGGAGCCGACACTGGAGCGGACTCAGAGGCTGGAGCCGACACTGGAGTGGACTCAGGGGCTGGAGCAGACACTGGAGTAGACTCAGGGGCTGGAACCGCACTGGAGCGGACTCAGGGCGGGGGGAAGAACAGTCTCTTTCTCCTAATCCTCCTCCTTTGGCTAGGGGTAAATGGAGTGGCCGGCAGGCCTGACTTCGGAACGGCCAGCAGGCTTGACATCGGAGCGGCTGGCGGGCTTGACTGGAACCCTCTCCGGGCTAAACTCTGGGACTGGAGCCCTCTCTGGGCTAGACTCGGGGACTGGAGCCCTCTCTGGAGTGGACTCAGGGGCTGGAGCCGACACTGGAGCGGACTCAGAGGCTGGAGCCGACACTGGAGTAGACTCAGGGGCTGGAACCGCACTGGAGCGGACTCAGGGCGGGGTGAAGAACAGTCTCTTTCTCCTAATCCTCCTCCTTTGGCTAGGGGTAAATGGAGTGGCCGGCAGGCCTGACTTCGGAACGGCCAGCAGGCTTGACATCGGAGCGGCTGGCGGGCTTGACATCGGAGCGGCCGGCGGACTTGACAACAGCACAGCCGGCTGGCTGGTTCTGGATCGGGGCCGGACACTCTCCAGACACCGGAGGATCCCTTCCCTCCAGCTTAGTCCTGTGGTGTCTGGGAGGTCAACGGGGCGGTAGTAATTTGCCCTGATCCAGAACAGCGAGTTGGTGGTGGCGTCGTCCAACGCCGTCGCCGCGGCGAGCCCGCAGAATTCCCAGCCATACTGTGAAGACAAAAACACTTTCAAAAACGAAAAAAAAAACACGAGGAGAAGAGGCGCTGCTCCCTTTTTGCTGGTCCGGTATTCTGTCACGCTAACTGCTGCTGTGTAGGAGACAAAGGAGCGCGGAGACGAAGGAGAATACAAATAACAGTCTTTATTTAGCCAAACCTCGGGGAACACACACGTAGCACTGGGTAGACGAACAATGCCGGACGCTAGACATGGAAACACAAAGGGCTTAAATTATGGGACTAATCACGGGAATGATGAGACACACCTGGAAGTAATGAGGGAACACCTGAAATCAAGGAACACAATGAGACATGGGAGAAACTAGGACATGGAGCACGTGGGGGAGGAAAACACAAGACACAGGACTGACAGTCTCTCAATTGCATGCACTAAAATATTCGGCAATTTGAGATCACAATATAAGGCGCAAGCTGATATGTACTTTCTTTTGTAATTTAATGCACAAGTTAGGGGTTGCACCGACTAATCGACTAGTGCCACTAATCGTAGGCTCTGAACCACGTGTGTAATCAGTCCAATGGATGGGCGAGACATCACGGGCGAGGTGACGTAGCGACCAGGAAGCTTAAAAGCACGTGCGGTGAAACCGGAGTCAGCTTTCTGTCATTCAGCAAGCGTTCTGTGTGTGTGTCAGTCTAATATCTGTTTGTGAGTCTTATGTAGTGTTGTCTGTCATGAAATCACAAGACAAAACCAAACTCCTAAGGCGAGGGCAGGCAGCATTCAGGCTGTGTGTTCCTCCCTGCCCGCGTTACTTTACGGGTGGGGTAATTACATCATTCGGTTTTTGATGTGAATCTTACTCACCAGACCGTATTTACTCCTCTGGTTGTTTTGACGCAGCGTTTCGTTCCCTCGAGGAACCATGGTTACATGCGTAACCCGAGACGTTTTTTTTCCTTTGTACAGAGTTGCAATTAATTTATTTTGATAAATAATAGAATGTTAAACATTCACTGTTTACTTTTTTCAGAGTTCATTGATTATATAAAATCAGTGAATAATATAATACAATATAATATAATATCAGTGAAGGTTGACTAAACTTTGAACTATGTAGTTACGTATATGCATGTCTCATCTATGAGTATGCAATGATGGAGAACAAGCTTTTGGGGGTGTTGAGAAAAAGAACCAAGCTGACTGAGTGAAGTGTGGCGACCCATATTCAGAATTTGTGCTCTGCATTTAACCCATCCAAGTGCACAAACACAGTAGTGAACACACACCCGGAGCAGTGGGCAGGCATATTGCTGCAGCGCCCGGGGAGCAGTTGGGGGTTTGGTGCCTTGCTCAAGGGTCTCACCTCAGTCGTGGTATTGAGGGTGGAAGCAAACACTAGTTACTCACTCCACCCACCGACAATTCCTACTGGACCCGAGACTCAAACCCACAACCTTAGGGTAACAAGTCCGACTCTCTAACCATTAGGCCACGACTACTTGATCTAATTCACAACTATCTCAATTACAATTAAGTACAAATCAATTGTATTTATTTGTGTTTTAGGCACTAAAATAGTCCAGTACTTTATAGTCAAACACATTTTTATATTGAAATAATTAAGATTTCTGTGACACCCCAGACTGGTTGTTGGCCCCTCCCTGGCCACCCCTATGAAAACATCCTGGCTTCGCCACTGGTTACTTCATATTTTTATGTATTTATGTATTCATATTAACTATGATTTTTTTCAGGATTCTTTGATGTATAGAAAGTTCAAAAGAACAGAATTTATTCGAATTTTTTTGTCTTAATGTAAAAGTCTTTGTCACTTTTGATCAGTTTAACACATCCTTGCTGAATAAAAGTATTAATTTCTGTCAAAAATCATTCGCAGCTTTAATTACGTAGCGAAGGGGAGGAGCTATCAGACTCTGATTATGAATGCCAAAATAACCTTATATAATTCATACACTTGAGTTTGAATTTTGAGTTGACTACATAGTGCAGAAGTACATAGTGTATATATGCATAGTCTATAGTGCATAATTTGTGACGCAGCTAATGTGTGCTTTTAAATGAACAACAAAATAACTTTCAAATATCAGCTCACATTTTTGTTGAAGCACTAAAGGGTTTCTTTCATACAAAAAAAAAGTGTTTATGTAAGTGCTTACTCCTTGTGGTGCCATACATTTTTATTTTCAAACTATATAATTCTATATTCAATCTGTGAATTCTAAACAGGATGACACTGTAGTTAAGTATTTCTATGAGTGGCATGGCC